CTTAACCCCTTCGCTGCCGCTCTTTCAAACAGACACTCAGCCTGTGAATACCAAGGATCAGAGAGAAGTCAGTTCTCAGCATCTGCCCATGTCATGAGCTCCATGCAGGGGCAGCCCTGTGCCATGCGGAAGTCTGCTGCATTGAGAGGGGTTTCACACAGGAGCAGAGTCACTTCCACAGAGCTCAGTGCTGGGTCCAGGTCTCCCAGCTACGTAAGGGATACTGCCACAATGACCCCATTGTATGTGGCCTGTTTAGAAAGGGGGCGATTGTAAAAATCCTGTCCCCCAGTCTTGCCCCCTCTTCCCCCTCCCGCCTCTGCAATGCATGGTGTCCTGCAGCCAGTAAATGGAAAGCTTGGGCTCAGATGCGGGGCCCAATTTCCTACATCCAGCACCAAACAGGTGGGCTAAGGGGGCTTTCAGGGACCCCAGGCTCCAGGATACTGATTCTGAGGCCTTATTAAATTCTCTCTCTCGATGGGAGCTTCTCCAACAAGGACTTTGGAGTGACTACTCTTCTGTGGCCAGGCAGATGCTGCTTAACCTGCAGAAAGCAAGAGTGAAATGCATCAGTGCAGCTGGGCGTCTCGCTGCGTTTATGGAGCACACTGCTTTTGGGCAGTGAGTGACGCAAAAGGATCCCGTTCCCACGGGGGCACCTGTTGCTAAAGCTGACACCAAAGGAAACTCAGGGCAATATTCCAGTGGATACCCAGGGGATCTACCGCACAGTGGCCCTGCCATTCACCAGGGGAAATCCCAGTGCGGCTGAGAACTCAGTTTCCTGCCCACCCAGCACCCTGCATCACACAGTGTCCAGAATCCCAGCGACCCAGGATAAGGAATTATTCCTTCCTACCTTTGACAGCTCTGTTGGAGACCCCAGTGCATGGCCACTAGTTAAGTCGAGGGGATGGAAGGCCATAAGGGTTGAGGAAGTCTTCCTGCTGAAGGCCTAAGGGCTTCTTCTAAACCCCCCTTAATAGAATTCAGGCCTGGCTGGTTTGAGTAAGTTCTTTTGCTCTTAAAACAATGTTGCAGCCGCAGATAATGCCTTATAGTGTAAGGTTTGCTGATGCCAAGTTAAAAATAATAGGAGATAGTTACAAAGCCAGACAGAATGTGCTGGTTGTTTAAGTTGCTAGGAATGCTTGTTAGAGGTTGCAGGAAATAAACATTGTTGTAACCCATATAAGGAAGGCAGAGTATTTGTGCAAAGTTTTAATTGACTGATGTGTAGTGCAGTAGCATTAAGGAATATAAAAGTGTGTGTAATGACCTGCTCTGGTGCGCAGGATTTGAGATTCTGTTCTCCCTGTACCTTGTTTGCAGCTGCAAATAAACTTTTCTGCTTCTCCACCCCCTTGTGATTACTGAGTGAAACACACCGGGTAACGAACCCCTGCTGTTGTTTTGCCTCTTGGCACTGGGTGCCGGCAACAGCTCTGTTTAGATGCAGCTGCAACAAAAAGGAAAAAAAATGTTATTGGAAACCCTTCCCTCGCTCCGTGCCAGGCCTTCAGGGGTGGCAGGTTTGTATAATTTTTGGTGGTGTCCAGAACAGGTCCAAGTCCCGCCCCACCCCCCACAGCTGCCTTGTACGCCGATATATATTTTTAAAAATAATGTAAAAATGGACTGGAAATAGTAAGCATTTAACAGTTTCCCTATATTACACAATGTGTGTTGGGGGGTGAGGGCTCTGGCTGGGGTTGCAGGCTCTGGGGTGGGGTGGGGTGGGGCTGGGGATGAGGAGTTTGGGGTGTGGGAGGGTCTCAGGGCTAGGGCAGAGGGTTGGGGTGCAGGGGTGAGGGCTGCGGGGTGGGGCTGGGGATGAGGGGTTCACGGTGCAGGAGGAGGCTGAGGGTAGGGCAGAGGGTTAGGGTACATAGGGGTGAGGGCTCTGGCTGGGGGTGCAGGCTCTGGGGTGGGGTGGGGCTGGGGATGAGGAGTTTGGGGTGCAGACAGACTGCCCTGGGGCTAGGGCCAGAGAGAAGGAGGCACGTGGGGGTGGCAGGCAGGGCCGGGGGAGAGACTGGTGGAGCTGGGCGCCAGGGCCCTGAATATTCCTGGATCCCGGGCACCATGGGCCCATACAACTTGCCACCCCTGCCTTCCCCTGCTACAGGCTTCCTGTGCGACCTGGGGCTAGTCACTCAGCCCATTTGGGTATGTCTGCTCTGCAATAAAATGGTACCAGCTGGCTCCAGCTCACGGGGCTGAAAAGAGCAATGTAGACGCTCAGGCTCTGAGATCCCAGAAAGGGTCTTGCAGCATCTACATTGCTAATTTTAGCCCTGCAAGCCTGAGTCAGCTGACCCAGGCTCTGAGACTCGGTAAGTTTTTTTATCACGGTGTAGATATCTCCTTTGTGCCTTAGTTTCCCCTCTGTACAATGGGAACAACTACCCTGCCCTGCACGGCTGCCGGGGGAGGGGGGGGCAGGAGGGTAAGTGTCTTAAAAATAGTGAATTGCTCAGCTTACTGCAATGATGGGGGCCAGATAAGCCAGAGACTGCAGGGCCAGATGGGACCACCAGCTTGTTTAGCACGGAGGCTTGGCAGAATTAGATTTTTATTTTTGACCGATAATATTGAGGTTTATTTTTAAGCATTTTTACATTTCTTTATCCATTTAAATGCTCACCATTATGGGAAATTATCTGGGTGAGGAGTCAGCTAAGGGGAGTGTGTCAAACAATAATTGTTTAGTGACAATACACATTGAGATTCAAAAAGTTAAAGCTTTAGCACTGTTAAAACACCAACTGTCAATGTCACACATCAAACCATGCAGCGTCAATATCCTCAAATCAAGCTCTAAGGAGTTCCCAAGCAGCAGGTTTCTTACTTTGCCTAGCTGTAAATCTCGATTGTTATCAACAGATCTATTTCTTCCAGGTTTGTGTGTGTCTGGTGACAGTATTGTAAGCAGTGTAGTTGTAGCCATGTGGGTGCCAGCTTATTAGAGAGACAAGGTGGGTGAGGTTATCCCTTTTATTGGATCAACTTCTGTTGGTGAGAGAGACGAGCATTCGAGTCATGAAGCAGAAAAGCTCTGTGTAGCTCTAAAGTGTGTCTCTCTCTCACCAACAGAAGTTGGTCCAGTAAAAGATATGACCTCACTCACCTTCTCTCTCTACTGTGAAATTGACAGTGAAGGGCTAAAATCCGTACGCTGTTTATGTTACAATCTGATATATAGACTGTGTCAGCTCTTTTTAGAGGCCTAAAATCCAGAGTTTGGTCAAGAAAACAGAGGCCTAGCAAATAGTGAACAATATTAGCTAAGAAGCAGAACAAACAAAGGACAACCTTGCTTTTTGCTAAGATAAGCTTGGTCAGCAAGAAGCCAGGTGGAAATTATAATTGTGGGCTTTATCTCAAAGTTGAGAACAGACCATGGGAATGAAAGGGGCCCTGTTTCTTCTGTAGAAGAGGTGCCTTCCTACACACCAGCCTTGAGTTTATGGAAGAAGTTCAAACATATCAGTATGAGATATGATATCCTTCCTCTCACAGATGTGCACCTCTCCTCCAAGCCATTGTCAGCCATCTGGCCTTAGAAACACAAATGAATAATTAAAAGACAATCTTTATTGCTATATACTTTTCATTTGTCCTTTTGCTTTAACTCCTAGGACTCCTTGTCCTGTTGGACAATCAAGGGAGCTACTTCATTATCTATGGATCCCAAATCAGAATTCAACATATATATATTTTATACTTACACACGCTATATATTGTTTAATGGAAAACACCTGTGTACTAATTAAGTGTCATGTGTTAACCTGAAACCATGGGCAGAGACATTATGTAACCTTTTGACCATTGGCTACTGAGCTTATCTTGTCTTGCTGCTAGACCTATCCAGGGGTTTGGGACTGCCTACCCCATCATTTCCCTCCACCCATGGAAAATCCATATAATCCATTGTAATCAATTGTTTGGCAGTGTCTCTGAGCCTAATAAGCGAGGTGACACTCCATCAGCGCTGTACGTAATAAACCCACGTGCTTGATTCTACACGGTGTCCATATTTGTTCCTTCAGGCAGTTATAGATAAAAACCTAGCCTTCCAAGCCTAAATATCATAGACAGCACCCTTGGGAGCAGGGGTCCCCAAACTTTTCACGGTTGTGCCCCTGCTTACTCTGTCCATGCCCCACCAGAGAGCTGGGGCCAGGAGTGGAGCTGCGGCTCCTGGGGATGGGGGTGGACAGGGATAAGGGCCAAGGCTGGGACCGCAGTTGGGGGCAGAGCTGGGGCTGGGAATGGAGCCATGGCCAGGCTTGGGGCAAGTCCAGAAGCAGAGCTGCAATTGGGCCAGGGTGGGGGCTGGCAGCCGGGACCGACAGCCACTGGGAACCATGGGCCTGCACTCGGCTGTGTTCCCTGAGCTACGTGAATGGTGGAGGGGTTTGTCTGAGAAGCGTGGCGGGGCTGTGATGGGCTCGGGGAGTCCACGGGGGAGGGGTGGTGAGCGAAGGCCCAAGAGGTGTTTGTACTTGAGAGACCCAGTTTGCCCTGTGCAGCGCTGCCTTATGCAGGCTGTGCCAGTCGCTGGGCTCGGGGGTGTTCTCGGCCCGGGGACTGTCAGAAGGGAGGTGGGGGTGGGGCTGCTCTGTGGGTTTGCTGAAGGGCGAGGGAAAGTCGAGCGTGAAATGGTTTCATGCGCGTAGGAGCGAGGGGCTGGGGGAAGGGGCGTAAATGTAGCAGAGGCGGAGTTCTTCGGGTTGTTGGGGACACTGGGGCATGGCCACTAGGTAACTCGAGGGGATGGAAGACCACGAGTGTCGATGAAGCCCCCTCGCACTAGGCCCAAGTGTCCTTGGCCCCCACTCCCGACTGGAGGCACTCGCAGCAGCTCTGCGTACTAGGCCCAAGTGTCCTTGGCCCCCCCGCCTGGAGGCACTCGCAGCAGTTATGCTGAGGATCTGCAACAATATGTTGCAGAGTCAGACTGCTTGAAACTAAACAAGGCCCAACAGGGCAGATATGGAAGAAAAATGCTGAATAAAGCAGCTTTATGTATAGTTTAACAAATGATACAAAAAACAAGGGAACTAGCTGGTAACTGGATTGGCTGGCTATATGGATACTTAGGGCAGCTTGTTATTGGATAAGTATGCTGAAGAAAGGATGTATAAAAGCCTGTGTAACTTCCTGCTTTGTGTGCAGGATTTGAGATTCTATTCTCCCTGTATCTTTTTGAAGCTTCAAATAAACTTTTCTGCTTCTCCACCCCGTTGTGATTATTGGGCGAAGCATACCGGGTAGCGAACCAACCCCAGCTGTTGTTTTGCCTCTCGGCACTGGGTGCCGGCAACAGGGTGGAGCAGGCTCAGTCTGTGAGCGGAGGGCAGGTGCTCGTAGCTCCTGTTTGCTACAGTGCAAAGGCAGAGCCTGGGCGTATTGGGGCATCGATCAACGAGGGCAGAGTAAAGGTTGCGCGGGCCTAACCCTTCCCTCAGTTTCCTGGTTTTAGGAATCCTGAGTGTGAAATACCTGAACTCGGAATGTTCTGGCTTTCAGACCTGTGAATTTGGCGGGTTTCAGCGTTCTGGATGGGAGCGAGATACCCCAGGGCAGCCTCGACGCTGTGCTAATGAAATTGTTTTTGTGTGTGTGTGTATATGTGTGTGTGTGTGTGTGTGAGAGAGAGAGAGAGAGAGAGAGAGAGATATCAGGGCATAAATGATTTATTCTCACATCCCTGTCCCCCTCGATCTGTGATGTTCATGACTCTCTGCATCTGCGTGTCTCTGCGGCCCCGTGGGGATGAGAAAACACTGCTTGAACCTAACCTGTGTCACTGCCAAGTTTCCCCAGGTCCCCAGTGGACTCAGGGAGATAATTGCTCCATGTGTGTCTCATCGTAACTCCTGGCACTAGTTGATGCTTAGCGATGCTCCCAGGAGGCAGGTTGAGCAGAGAAAAGGCAAAGCATTTTATTCACTGCACAGGAGCCAGCTCAGACCCAGCCTGCCAGAGACCCCTTGGGTCACTATTTAAAGGGGCTCAGGCACTTAACTCTCACTGACATCCATGGGAGTTAGGCACTTCAATACCTTCAAAAATCTGCCCCCTTGTTCACCCTGCACGTGCTCAGAGGCTCAGCATAGACCCCAGCACATCCCCCCATAGCAGCATCACAGCGTGTCTCTGACACAGCTACACCCACGCAGGCATCCCCGCACTGCCTCTCTCCCCACCCCTTCTATGAGGCTTACACCAGAGACATTTGGCTCAGCATCTGCGTCCTGGATATTCAGTAAATGCAGGAGCCGTTTCAGGCCACATTTAAACCCATTTGGTACCCTACATTTGCATTCCCCACGACCAGGTGTGCACGTCAGGCAGCTGCCTGTGCAAATGGCTTGTGGCCGCCTGTCGCTCTGCCTGTCGCTCTCATGCACAGTCACCGAGGGGATTTTATGTGCAGGCCTCCGGGGTGGGAACTTTGGCCAGGAAGGTTCTGCTGTAACTATAACAACTGGCTGTGACACGAAGCCCGGCCTCCGCCACACCCGGCTCCCGCTGCCCACGAAGTGTCGGAGCTTCCCCTGTGCCATCGACTGACCCAAACACTGCTGCTCGCTGGCTGGTTAACAGGCTCCATCACCGTCTCCTTCCCGGGGCTCCGCTCAGGCTGGCAGCGAGTGTGGGGCTCACGCAGGCTTGTGGGGCACTGGGAATCCTGTGGGGAAGTGACAGGGAATCTCAGTGACCATCTCGCATGCAGCTGCCCCCCACCCCCTCCCAGGGTGACAGTGCTGAGTGCTCTAGGTTATCAATCTGCCCCCCCCCCATCTATAGGGAGAGCTGGGTAGTGGGGGAAGGGCAGCGACTCAGGCTCTAGGCGAGTGAGCCCTTGTGCCTGGCAGGGGGTGCCGGTGAGGGGTCCCAGCACAGACCACACCCTTGGATGCAGGTGGGGGAGATGGAGGCTCTGAGGTGGCAGGGAGGTTGGGATGGATCCTTTTCCCACTGACCAGTCCCTGCACTGACTTTGTGGGGAGAACAACCCCCATCCCACATGGGCCCATTCACAGAGCGTCGCCCTTACCCAGTGCTATGGAGCCGGCCGGGTGTCCTGTACTCGAGAGCCGCCCTGTCCCACCACCGCGTATGTCACTGCCACGTTCCTGTCCACCCTGGGCTGCTGGGACACCAGTACAACACAGACAGGGTGAGAGCCCTGGTGAGCTGGCTGGGAAATGCCTCCCCTCCGCAACATGCAGACAGGCCGGCCGGGAATCCTGGGTTCATGAATTCCAAGGGCAGAAGGGACCATTGTGATCCCCTCGTCTGACCCCCTGTGTGACGCCGTCTGGAGACGTCCCCACAATAACTCCTTGAGCTGTTAGATGCACGTCCAATCCTGAGGTATAAATTGTCAGGGATGGAGAATCCCCCATGTCCCCTAGGGAATGGTCCCAGTGGTTAATCGCTCTCCCTGTTAAACACTTACATCCTGTTCCAGTCTGAATTAGTCTCCTGAGGAGCACCAGGGCAGGAGTCCTGAGCAGGGCCCAGGGATGAGGGGAGGGGGAAGAACGATCTCTCCTTAGAGCCGGGGCTGGGGAGTGCCATGCTCAGGAGGGTGCTGGAGCACAGGTCTTAACTTTACCATGTGCTCCAGTCCTATTGGAATCAATGGGATGGACGCAGGAACTTGGAGTCCCCCATACAATTGAGGGCTCCCCTCAGCCGGGGCTTCCGGGGGTGAGACAATCCATGGGTCAGCCAGGGAAACTCCCCCAGCTAGAGCCAGACATGATCACAGACAAACCTTCTCCTTTCTTCCATTGGATTTATGGGGCCAGAATTCCAGCTTGTGTAAATCAGTGTTGCTCCACTGCGGTCACAGGAGTGAGGCCGATTTACACCCGCTGGTGATTTGGTTCAATGGCTTGAATGGAGCTACAGCTGATTTACACCAACTGGGGATCTGGCCCATTGACACCAACAGAGTGACACCAATTTACATCAGTGGGGGATCTGGCCCCATTGACTCCAGTGGAGCTACAGTGACATGAAACTGGCTGGAGAATTAAATCCAGACTCTTAAATTCTTTCTTTCACCACGGGCAAGTCATGGCTGACCAACCTGATTGTCTTCTATGAAGAGCTAGATGACACTAATCTTGGGGGAGAGGTAGGTATGCTGGAGGGTAGAGATAGGGTCCAGAGTGAGCTAGACAAATTGGAGCATTGGGCCAAAAGAAATCTGATGAGGTTCAACAAGGACAAGTGCAGAGTCCTGCACTCAGGATGGAAGAATCCCAGGCACTGCCACAGGCTGGGGACCGATTGGCTAAGCAGCAGTTCTGAAGAAAAGGACCTGGGGATTATAGTGGAAGAGAAGCTGGGTATGAGTCAACATTGTGTCCTTGTTGCCAAGAAGGCTAACGGCATATTGGGCTGTATTAGTAGGAGCATTGCCAGCAGATATTCGGCACTGGTGAGGCCACATCTGGAGTACTGTGTCCAGTTTTGGGCCCCCCACTACAGAAAGGATGTGGACAAATTAGAGAGAGTCCAGCAAAGGGCAACGGAAATAATTAGGTGGCTGGAGCACATGACTTATGAGGAGAGGCTGAGGGAACTGGTCTTATTTAGTCTGCAGCAGAGAAGAGTGAGGGGGGATTTGATAGCAGCCTTCAACTACCTGAAGGAGGGTTCCAAAGAGGATAGAGCTAGGCTGTTCTCAGTGGTGGCAGATGTCAGAACAAGGAGCAATAGTCTCAAGTTGCAGTGGGGGAGGTCTAGGTTGGATATTAAGAGAAAATATTTCACTAGGAGGGTGGTGAAGCACTGGGATGGGTTACCTAGGGAGGTGGTGGAATCTCCATAGAATCATAGAATATCAGGGCTGGAAGGGACCTCAGGAGGTCATCTAGTACAACCACCTGCTCAAAGCAGGACCAATCCCCAATTTTTGCCCCAGATCCCCTAAATGGCCCCCTCAAGGATTGAACTCACAACCCTGGGTTTAGCAAGCCAATGCTCAAACCACTGAGCTATTCCCCCCAAACTTCCATCCTTAGAGGTTTCTAAGGCCCAGCTTGACAAAGCCCTGGCTGGGATGATTTAGTTGGGGGTTGGTCCTGCTTTGAGCAGGGGGTTGGACTAGATGACCTCCTGAGGTCTCTTCTAACCCTAATCTTCTATGGTTCTATGATTCTTTCTTCATGCCAGGACTGTCACTATTTATCCCCCATGACTGGGATCACCCCTTGGTGAACCTCACTCCTGGCTAGGCCAGAGGCGCCGGTGCTGGGATCAGCCCAGGGGTTTTCCCAGGGTTTAGCTGTATCTCCTGGTGCCCGTTTGCTTGGGAACTTTCTGCCCAGACCCGGCTCTCTGGGCCCTGTCTGCCCTGCGGGCACCGGCACAGCAACTCACCTGGGCAGTTCCGACTCTAGTGACCTCGGCATCTGGGGGAGAGAACTAAGGTCAGTGCGTCCTCACCAGGCTCCCCACACGCTGGAGAGATGCCAACCCACGTCCCCCAGGGACACAGACCTGTCCCTGACTCCAGCTGGAGCCACTGGGGAGAGAGCGCCAGGCACTGCCTGGCCAGTGTGAGCCCTAATGGGCTGGCTGGCCCCATGGATGGTGGCTGCCCACTGATAAGGGGTGAATCTCTGGCTGTTCCTGGTGTGTGTCTCCTTTCTCCCCATACAGGGAGGTGTCTGCCCAGGCCGCGGCGCCCACCCTGCAGTTTCCAGCAGGAGCTGCCAGGGCTCCTCCCAGTCCAGCCCCTGCTTATGGCCAGGGGCTCCCATTGCCCCATCATTGGTCTGGGCAGAAGCTGGGGCAGCAGGGAGAACAGACCCTATCAGGGCAGGACTCTCTGGCCTGGCTACCCAGGGCCCCTTTCGGCCCCAACACCCCGGACTCTGACGCCCAGCCAACAGACGGACAAAGGGCCAAATTCTCCCCTCCGGGGTGGTGCTGGAACAACAGGCTCTTACACTGGATCTGATCTTCAGCAGCCAGGCTGCTCCGGTCTGGGCTGGGATCCCTGTGTGGAACGAGAGCTGTGTCAGTCCCATGTGCAGCACCAGGCGCCAAGGGCAGGGCCCTGCTGCCATTTGCCATAGGGGCAGGAAGGCAGCAGCACCATCGCCATCACTAGGGCAGGGGGAGACGACACTCCCAGACAAAGGTCGGGCCCCCTCAAAACCCCAGGAGCATTTGCATTGTGGGTAGCTGGGGGGTATGGCCCAGGTCAGCTCCCCAGGGCAGAGTCCCAGGCAGGGCAGCAATGAGCCCTCCTCCCAGACCTGGGCATCACCTGGGGGAGAAACCCCAAAAGGGTGCTGGGGATCAGGGTGAAGTTCCCTCCTACCTGTGAGTCCTGCAGCGTGACACAACTACCGAGAGAAAGAAAAGAGCATTAGGGAAGCTCAGCGCACGTCACGGCCTGGGGCAACTGTCGGGACCTGGCAGTGTGCACCTCTGCCCCCGATGTGCTGCACCTCCCCGCTGGTCTGTGGAGTCTAGCTACCCACGGAGCCCTGCAGCCGCAGATCCACGGAGGCAGCACAGGGCAATGGTAAGTGCAGGGGACAGATGCCCAGAGACCTCAGTGCTGGGTGATCTCAGACCAGTCAGTTCTGCTCCCCGTGCCTCAGCCAGGTTACAACCAGCAAACGTGCCCTTCACTGCCATTGGAGTGGGATTTAAATTAGCTGTTACCTCTCATGAAACAGATCTTGGAGTCATCATGGATAGTTCTCTGAAAACATCTGCTCAGTGTGCAGGAGCAGTCAAAAAAGCAAACAGAATGCTGGGAACCATTAGGAAAGGGATAGATAATAAGACACAAAATACCATCATGCCACTATATAAATCCATGACACACCCACACCTGGAATACTGTGTGCAGTTCTGGTTGCCCTATGTCACAAACAATATATTAGAATTGGAAAAGGTACAGAGAAGGGCAACAAAAATGATGAAGGATGTGGAATAGCTTGTGTATGAGGAAAGATGAAAAAGTTTGGGACTTTTCAGCTTGGAAAAGAGATGACTAATGAGGATATGATAGAGGTCTATGAAATCGTGACTGATGTGGAGAAAGTGAACAAGGAAGTGTTATTTACTTCTTCACACAACACAAGATCTAGGGGGCACCCAATGAAATTAAATAGGCAGCAGCTTTAAAACAAACAAAACTTCACCCAACACACAGTCAGCTTGTGGAACTTGTTGCCAGAGGATGTTCTGAAGGCAAAAAGTATAATGGGGTTTAGAAAGAACTGGATAAATTCACGGAGGAAAGGTACATCGATGGGTATTAGCCAAGGTAGCCGGGGACAAACACCATGCTCTGGGTGTCCCTAGTTTCTGACTGCCAGACACTGGGGCTGGACGACAGGGGATGGATCACTCACTAATTGCCTGAAGAAAGGATGTTGGGCTAGATGGACCATTGGTCTGACCCAGCATGGCCGTTCTTATAACCTCATGATTTAAGTGACGCCCCGGAACAGCCGCCCATCCCAGGGCATCCTCCACCCCACCGGCACCTACCTGTCTTCATCAGAAAACACCCCAGCAGGCCCAGAGCCAGGCTGGCCGTGACGGCGAGTCCCACAATGAGTCCCAGTCCTGGAAAACTGTCACAGCAGCTGGGAACTGAGAGGAAAGCAGGGGATTAGGCTGGAGCCCAAGGACTGATGCTGGTGGGGCTGGGAGCATCCGGAACACAGATGGGGAACACAAAAGGGATCCAGGATGGGGGGGTGAGACCCAGGGGACATGGATCCAGGACAGGGAAGCCCCCGTACATCATCTTACATCCCACCAAAACCTGGTGCACACTGTGAGACACTGGGGGTGGCTATAACATGACAGCTGACATGAGAGGACTTGCTCAGTGAAACTCTTGCCTTGCGGCACAGGCAACGGTCTCATGGCGCCCTCTTGTGGCACAATGTGACCTTGCAGGTGCCTTATTCACAGCCTCTTCTTGCATCTTACAAGACCTTTCTCCAAGATCGGGACACATGAAACAAAACTGCCCCTTTGCGGGGGTCTCATTTATTAGATCTCTTGCAGTGCATCAAATTAGTCCATCTCTGGTTCCACTTTGATTCAGGAGTCCCTCAGGCCTCCTTCTGGTGCCTGCGCATACTGTCCATAACTTCCCCCATTTCATAGAATCATAGAATATCAGGTGAAGGTCATCTAGTCCAACCCCCTGCTCAAAGCAGGACCAATCCCCAACTTTTGCCCCAGATCTCTAAATGG